CAGCTGTCGCACGCGCGTCTCTCTCTCTCGCCCTCAAAAGAAATAAACTCCACCACTTTTGCACTGTCTCTCCAAATCACACTCTCATGCCATGTCATTTGTGGATGCTAAATTGTTTGTTGATTTATTCAATTCTTCTTGATAACAAAACAACAATTTATTGCAAAACTTTTTGTTTTTTATTAATAATTTATTTAATTATTGTTTTTTTTAATTAAATTCCATTATTGTTTTATAATTTCCTTACAATTGTGCTTTAGCAGCCAGAGACGCTACTTGTTGGCGGTTATTTAACTGTCAATTGGAATAATAGGGAGCAATAGATTGAAAATGGCAGTCACATTAATGCTTCAAAGTAGAGTAATGTAGGTCGACTGGCTGCAGTCTTTAATAAAGCTGTGTGGCAAATAAAGGAAAGACCTGTCATATATTCATTTAAAACGTAATTAATTGAAAATTTCTATATTTTAAGGTAAAAATAAAATGAAAGTATCTAATTGTAAAGAAAAACGAATGTTTTATAAACAAATGATAACGAAAATGTATTTTATTTAGATAAATACACTATAAAAAAATATAATTTAAAAAATAAACATTTTAAATAACAAAAAAAAATTAAAAAGATAAAAAATATTTTATTGCCTAAAAATAATTTTTGAAACAATAAAAAAGTTATCGATAACTTGTTAAAAGAAAATAATTGTTAACGATAACTTATCGGCTGAAAATGTGATTATCAATTGGTCTGTTCCCGTACTGCAAGAATCTACTATTTTTACTACGATAACACTTTTTTCCTTTATGATATCGAAGAAAATAGTAAAATCGAGTAGATTCTTGCAATACGGGAACAGGCCAAATATCTTTTCTATGGGGAAAAATGATTATGGGCAAACATTTTCAACAAAGAAAATGTTTTCTTGGCAATATTTGTATAAAGAAAAATTGTTATCGATAAAATTTCCGTAAAATTAATTTTGTTATCAATAACTTTTTTTAAGATAATTTTTTTCGCTATAGCATTTCTACAAACAAAAGTTGTTGTAGATGATTTTTTTAATGGAAAACCTTGTCGACAACAACTTTCCTCAATTAAAAACATAATATAATAACAAAAACATTTTTATTATATTTATCGATAATTACTATTCATTATTATCATATTTAATTATTTGTATATAGTATTATAATAGCTTGCATATATTAAAAATATTTTTATTATTACATTTATTTTTTTATTACAATAGGTGGGAATTTATTCTATTGAAATTATTTTTCATTATTATATTTAATAATTATTTTATTTTATTACAAGTGGTTAAAAATCTTTTTTTATATGTATATTTTATTTTTAATTTATTCAATACATGGAAAATGTTTTTTTTTATCTATTTAATAATTTTCATTTTTTTATATTTATTAAAATACATTTTTTATTTTCTTTTTATTTTATTAAAAATATAAAATAATAAAAAAATAATTTTATTATATTTAATAATATTTTAATTGTATTGCAATATTTATTATTTTATTTTTTTATTATTATTAATTATTATTTAATTAATTTGTAATATTTTAATATTTTCTATACATTAATATTAACGTCAAACGGCAAAGACCTGCGCCGTTGGGCTCACAGCCAGACAAGCTGACGCCGACACTTTATAGCAACACATTTTAACACAAACCGCCGCCGACAAATTGGCTTAGCACCGGTCGTTATGTATGGCAGAAAAAGCACAGTAATTTGTTTTTCTATAACAAGAGGTGGTTATTTATTAAAAAATAAATTAATTAATTAACGATATATTAAAATAGGCGGGAAATTATTATTTTTTTTTTAATTATTTTATTAGTTGTTTCTTCATATATGTCAACATCGCCGTCAATTATTTACACAAGTCGCCATTGGCGCCGACAAATTTTGCCCGGCGCAGGCTGTTATATACAGAGAACAATGTCAATGCATGATAGCGGACGGCGTTACGCAGTAAACATAGAGTTAATGGAGAAGAAACGACAAGTCCAGACGATTTAACGAAATAAAATTAATAAATTTAACATAAAAAAGCACAAGTTATTGCAAGCAAATAAAAACGAAAAAGAAAACGAACGGATAATAAACGAAATTAACAAGAAAAACATAAATAAAACACATCAAAAGTAATGTAAATGAAAAAGAAAAGAAAAAAAATCCAATCAATTTTGTTGGTTGCTGTCATACACAGCCAGCCAGCCTATTAGTACTCTCTCTTTCTCACTGAGTGTGAATTGCCTGGCTGTCAGGCTGAGTGAGTGTGTGTGTTCGTGTGAAGGTGTCAAAAGAATTGTGTGTTGTGTGGAAGAAAAAAAAACATAAAAACAAATTTAAATTGTTTAAACAAATAAGGAAAAGAAAATTTATTAATTATATTAATATAATATTGGTAGAGAATAAATTTCCAAACAAACAAGTGTTGTGGTGATTTCCAGCAATAAAAGTCTTCTGGAGAGCGAGAAAAATCGCAATGAAAAAAAAAACTACCCCACCCCGCTCCATCAAGACAAGAAAAATGCAAACCAATTCATGACAATCCAATCATCCAATCTATTGAAATTGAAGTTCATACACAATTTATCGCATAGAAATACAATTCTCGTATTTCTCGTTAGATATTCGTTGCTGTTGTTGTGTTTTCTTTCTTTTGTTATTATCATCTGAAATATTGTAAAATTATTAAGAAAATTTGTGCATTAAAAAAGGAGAGAGAAAAAAAAACGGGACAATAGGAGACCAAGTTGACAGTTTGTATGCTATAACCTCCTTATTTTGTGTTGATTGTGATGATGAGAGTGCAAGTGGAGTGTTGTGGAGAGGGTTTTTTTTTTGATTTTTGCCGACCCCATTATTTGGGGTTAAGCATTAAATTTCAATTTAAAAGTTATTGCAAAAATTCAAAACACTTTTGTGATCAAAAAATTGCAAAACCATTCCATCCATCCATCTCTCCATCCACTGCGTTGCTTTTGTGTTAAAGTAATTTGTGTCTCGTTCATGCTTCTTCATGACTGTGCGTTGTTGTGTGTATGTTTTGTTTTTCTCTAGAAACCAGGGGGCGACGATAGTGTTGGGGTGGTTGCATATGCACATGTTTGTGCTTGCCTGCCTGCTTTGGCAAGACTGTTGTCTGAATAGCCTGGCTGCATGCATCTATTTGCTTTGAATGGGCATGAATTTATGGCTACGTGCATGCCTGCTTGCTCGCCTGTGTACCGCCGTTGCTGCTTTAATTTCAAGTTGAATACATTTGTTGTTGTTGCTATTCGTTGTTATTATTTATTTTTTTGTTAATGGACATTATTTTTGTTATTGTTGGAAAATGTTTTGTTTCCTTTGATGTTTACATAAAGTGAGAAAGAAGCAGCAACGGCAGCCAGATTTACATCAGCCTCAACATCATCAGCACTCCAATATCTCCCAATATTTATGGCCAATGATTTGGTTTATTGGTGATTAGAGAGAAAAACAAATTTGGAAACATTTTTTGTTTTCAAGCTGAATTTAAGGACCGTTTTCAAGGTTGAGATGAAGTTAGAGGTTTCGTTTTTGGGATGATTGGGTAATATTACTCCTAAAATGTTAGGGAGAAATTGGTCCAAATATTTGTGATAGCCTGTGCATTTTTCCAACAAATTTTCCAAACTATGGGCCTGTTAGTTCACATTCAGGGTTCTTGGAAATTTTTCAAAATTCCCTTTTTTATTTCTAATGGTCCCTGTTGGATTTTTCCCAACCGTATGGGGCTGTAATGTAAATTTACATGGATTTTTGAAAAATCCTGGATTTTCAACATATCTACCATATAGAGGTCCAAACAAAAAGTTTTCAATATTGGGGCTATAAATTGGTATTCTGGGTTCTGGAAGGCAAAAAAAAAAAAATATATATATTTAAAAAAAAATTCAATATCGTATTTTTTAACCAATTTTTAGGGATTTTTGGAAATTGTTATTTATTTATTTTTTTTTTAATTTTTTTATTTTTATCCAACCAAAAAAATCGCTTCATTAAGCAAAAAAATCGCCTTCGATGACAGTTTTTTTTTGGGACTTTTATTTTATTTTTTTTTATTTCGTTGGATTTTTTTTTTAATTTTTTCTATTTTTGTCGAAAATATTATCGATTTTTGTTTTGCTTTCGATGACAGGTTTCAAACAAATTTTTGGAAATTTTTTAATTTTTTTTTTGAATTTTTTTTTTTATTATTCATTTTTTTTTTTTGCCTCCTAACCTCACTTTTATCCGATATTAAATTCATTTGTTTTTATATTACAGATATATATTGCTAATCATTACAACAAATACGAAGAGCGAAGAAGAACGACAACAACAACAACAAACAAAGTCTAAAACATTGGAACATCACACAGAAAATAACAAAAAAAACCACGAACCCAGTAAATGCTGAAAATAAACCAGCCAGCCGCCCCACATTGAACACAAGTCTTCAAGAGGGCAACAACAACAACAAAAACCAATAATAACAACATCGTCAGCGGCAGCAAAGACGTCAGAAGCCAAAGTGGAGAAGCGAGCTCTACACGATTTCTTCTAAGCACACATGGCTTAGTGTCAACAACTTTAATTTACAGCAACAACAACAATAATAGCAAGAAATAACAACAACAAAAATTCGCACAGCATAAACAAAAGAGAAGCTAAGAGAAGATTCGATCCGACACAAAGACAATAACAAAACCCAAGAAGAAGTTCTTTAAGAAGATAAAAACAACAACAACAAGTGTTGAAGACAATAATAACAACAACAACGAGCCCTTCACAAAAGGATTAAACTCTTGCAAGGCCCATAACAACAACAACAACATCAACAAAAAAAAATAGAGAAAAAACGGATTTTTTTGTTTGGGGTCCAAAAGAAGTCGGAAAAAATTTGAATTTTTTTCTACACCTTTCACCCATGTCTCCTCTCCAAATTTACATTTGCTTCTCTTGTGCCTAGTGGGGCATCGGCTTAACACCCCCACCCTGTTTTGATTTTTTTGGAATTTATTTTTTGATGCCCGCTGCCCGTCATTATAACGCCACACAAATGATCGCAATTAGCGAAGAGCTGCATAGCGATAATAATGGCTCAACGACAACAACAACAACAAGTAGTAAGGGCAAAAATAAAACCTTCAATACAAATCCCGCCACCACCACAACAACAACAAATAATACGGCAAATGGGACGACACAACAGCCGCATAAAATAAAACCCCCTAATGGTCATAATCCCATTGAGAACACAACCACAACATCGGCTTCTAACATGGTCAGTACCACCACAACCTCCTCAAACACCGCCATAGATTCCGCCATTGTTGTGACCACCACCAGCAGTGCCAATGATTTGGTGCCCGAAGGTAGCCTCTGGACAGCCCTCTATGACTATGAGGCCCAGGGCGAAGATGAGCTTAGCCTGGAAAGGGGTCAAGTGGTCTTGGTGTTATCCATGGATCCCAATGTATCCGGTGATGAGGGTTGGTGGATTGGTAAAATTGGCGATAAGGTAAGGCATCATCCAAAATAATTCTCTTCCATTAAAACAAAAAATTATTCCCCTTCTCTCCCCCACCAGGTTGGCATCTTCCCCAGTAACTTTGTCACAAATCACGATCCCATGATGATAAATGTGCCTTCGGCCATTGGTGATATCCAGCCGCATGAAATTGAATATGAGGAGTTGTACGTCGAAGAGGTAATTGGTGTGGGCGGTTTCTGCAAGGTCCATCGTGGCTATTATCGCAATGAGGAAGTGGCCATAAAGGCCGCACGACAAACGGCCGACGAAGATATGCAATCGATGCGTGACAGTGTCCTACAGGAGGCGAAACTTTTTTGGGCTCTCAAACATGAAAACATCGTGGCGTTAAGGGGGGTATGCCTCAAACCTCCCAAATTATGTCTAGTCATGGAATATGCCCGTGGTGGTAGTTTAAATCGTGTCCTGGCTGGTAGGAAAATACCACCGGATGTCCTGGTCAATTGGGCCATACAGATAGCCCGCGGCATGAATTATTTACACAACGAGGCGCCCATATCGGTGATACACCGAGATTTGAAAAGTTCCAATGGTAAGTGGGAGAGAATGTCGGATTTTCAATTTGAAAACCAATTAAAAAAAATGTTTTTTCCAGTTTTAATCTTTGAAGCAATCGAAGGCGATAATCTACACAAAAAGACTTTGAAAATTACGGACTTTGGTTTGGCCCGGGAGCTGTACAATACAACGCGTATGTCGGCGGCTGGCACCTATGCCTGGATGCCGCCGGAGGTTATTAGTCGTGGCACTTATTCCAAGTATGTAGAGCTGAAAAAGAATACAATCGATTACAAACACTGCCGAAAAGTTATCGATAACAAAATTTTCAAATTTTCTCTATACAAAATGTATCGATAATTTTTCCCTATACAAAATTTATCGATTATTATTTTTCTCTATAGAAAATTTATCGATAATTTTTCTCTATAGAAAATTTATCAATAATTTTTCTCTTATCGATAACCATTTTTTTGTAGAAAATTTATCGATAATTTTTCTAATATTTTTTTTTCATAAAATAATTATCGAAAATTTTTTCTTTATTTATCGATAATAATTTTTTTCCGTATAGAAAAATTATCGATAATAACTTTTCCTTATAGAGAAATTATCGAAATGTTTCTTTATGGAAAATTTATCGATAATTATTATTAAAATTATCGATTATTTTTTTTTCTTTATAGAAAAATAATCGATTTTTTTATAGAAAAATAATCGATATTTCTTTATAGATAAATTATCGATTTTTTTTTATTATAAAGAATTGCCGATTTTTTTCTGTATAGAAAAATTGTCGATTTTTTTCTTTGTAGAAAAATTACCGATTTTGTTTTTCTTCATAGAAAAATTATCGATTTTTTTCTTGATAACAAAATTATTGATTTTTCTTTACAGAAAAGTGATATATTTTTTATCGACAATTAATTTATATATTTTTTCGTTCTTTTTTTCCAGGTCCTCCGATGTTTGGAGTTATGGTGTCCTACTGTGGGAACTGATTACCGGCGAAACACCCTACAAAGGTTTCGATTCATTGTCGGTGGCCTATGGTGTTGCTGTTAATACCCTAACATTGCCCATACCAAAAACATGTCCCGAAGCCTGGGGTAAACTCATGAAAAGTAAGTCCGAAAAACAAATTAAAAAAAATCGAAATTCAATTTTTTTAATTTTTTTAGGCTGCTGGGAGGGTGATCCACATAATCGCCCCGGGTTTAAGGATATACTCATGAAACTGGAGGACATTGCACGCAGTGGTTTCACCTCAACGCCTCAAGAATCCTTTCACACCATGCAGGATGGTTGGAAAAAGGAAATTGCTGAAGTTCTGCATGAATTGCGTTTGAAAGAAAAAGTAGGTTTGAGATTTTGAAATCGTAATGTTAACGGGTTTCTTTTCTTCTTCTTCTTCTTAATGGTTAATGATATGTTTATCTAGTGTGAACCCCATTTTCTTTGTGTGAAATCAAAATCGAAAAAAAAAATCTGTAGTTTTGAATGTCGATACTCATTATTCATTTATTGTTTTTTTGTGCTTTCCTTTTCTATTTCCTTCTACCTCGTTGCTAACCACAACCATAACCATTTTGTGGTAATTTTTCATTTTCAAAAAATATATATTGGGATAAAATTTAATGTATATAAAATTTGTAATGAAAAATCTTATTCGCTCGCCTCCTCCATATATATACATTTCGTCACATAATTATAGCGCTTTCAAAATATCGAAGAGGTAAGATTGTAAAACATTCTTCATCCTTGTGGCTTTTTGTAAACCTTTGTTGTTTTCCTTTTGTTTTTTTTTTATTAATAAACATTTCAATATAATTTTGTATATTTGAAAAATATTAAATATCAAACCCAAACTTCTCTAACCTATATATTAGCTCTAAATGTTGTTGCCAATTAGTTTTCAATATTTTGTTCTTTCTTTTTTGTGTTGCTTTGCTATCCAAAATCAATCTCCGATCTTCTTTTTTTCAATATCATTTTTTTGTTTGTTTTCCTTCCAGGAATTGCGCAACAAAGAGGAACAACTTCGCCTCATCCAAATGCAACAACACGAACAGGCGAACAATTTGAAAATCTTCGAACAACAATTGCGTGCCCGTGAGCTGGAACTAATGGGACGTGAATTGATAATTTTGCAGACAATACCGAAACCGAATAAACGACGCAACAAAATAAAATTCAAACCGAAAAAAGATCCGGTACAAATATCATTGCCGACCGGATTTCAGCATAAGATAACAACGATCCGGGATCAAAGTTGTGGGGTGCCGACGCCGCCCGGTTCACCGGCAATATCGGGTTTACGAATAGTGGCACGTAAGTACAAGAAAAAATATCTCTCCCTAAAAAAATAGAATTTTAATAGGAAAAATATCGATGAAAATTTATCGACATAATAATGATGAAAATATATCGATAAATTTTTATCGTACATTTTTTCATAAAGAAATATTTGTAATCGTAAATTATTCCATAAAAAAATTTTGTTATCGGAAAAAATTTCCATAAATAAATACTGTTATCGATCTTTTTTCCATAAAGAAATTTTGTTATCGATAATTATTCCGTAAAGGAATACTGTTATTGATAATATTTCCATAAATAAATACTGTTATCGATAATATTTCCACAAAAAATATACTGTTATCAAATTGAAATACTGTTATCGATAATTTTCCTTCAAAAATAATGTTATCGATAATTTTTTCCTTTTTTTCCATTGAAAAAAAGTGTTATCGATCATTTTTCCATTCAAAAAAATTGTTATCGATAATTTTTTCCATTGAAAAAATTGTTATCGATAATTTTTCTATAAAAAAATAATCGAAAATCATGTTTATCTGTAGCAACAATTTCCCTCTATGGAAAAATTATCGATAATAATTTTTTTTGTGTAGATAATAATCGATAATAATTTTTCTCAATAGAAAAATTATAGATAAAAAAATTACCATTGAAAAATTATCGATAATGAATATTTCAATGGATAAATTATGGATAACAGCATTTCTTTATGGACAAACTGTCGATAACAATTTTTGTTTCTATAGAAAATATCGATAGTATTTTTTTGTACAGAAAATATTATAATTTTAGTATAAAACAATATTGTTATCGATAATTTTTCTTAAGAGATTTTTTTTTTAAAAATTATCGATAAATTTTCTGTTTGAGAAAAAAAATGTATCGATAACTTTTCTATAGAAAAAAAATATTATCGATAATTTTTCTATAGAAAAAGATATTATCGATAATTTTTCTATAGAAAAAAAATATTATCGATAATTTTTCTATAGAAAAAATATTAGAAAATATATAGAAAAGTTGTCGATACATTTTTTTTCTCAAACAGAAAATTTATCGATATTTTTTTTAACAAAAATTTTTTTTCTCTTTAGAAAAATTAACGATAAAATTTTCGATAATGATTTTTCTCAATAAAAAATGAGAAAGAATTTTCCCTTACAGAAAAATGATCGATAATTATTTGTCGCTATAGAAAAATTATCGATAATTATTTTTCGCTATAGAAAAATTATCGATAATTATTTTTCGCTATATAAAAATTATCGATAATTATTTTTTATTGTAGAAACATTATCGATAATTATTTTTCGCTATAGAAAAATTATCGATAATAATTTTTCTCAAATTATTAGAAAATTTTGAAAAAGTATTTTCAGAAATTAAAAAAAAAATTATTTCTAAATTTTTGAAAATTTTATTAAAAATGTTGATTTTTTAACTTTTTAAAATAATGAGTTTTTTAAATTTTGAAAATATTTTTTAAAAATTTTCAATTTTTTTTTTAATTTTGAAATTATTTTTTTTTAAAAATGTCAAGTATTTATTTACAATAGCGATTTTTTTACATTTACATTTACAATTTTACATTTTTCACATTTTTCAATTTTTTTTTAAATTTTGAAAAAAAAACTTTTTTAATGTTTTTTTTTGCTTGTTGTTTTAGAGTAAATTTGTATTTGAATTTATTTTTTTTAATTTAAATTTTTTTTAAATTATTTATTTTTAGATTTTCAAAATTTTTATTTATTTATTTTTTATGTTTTTTTTTCTTTTCTTTTATTTTTTATGTTTGTTTCCCCTACCGTCCACTTTCCCCACACGTCCATAAAAATTCCCCCGCCCTGTAGTGAGTCCTGACGGTTTTAAGGGTAAAACCTGGGGCCCGTCCACTGTCCATCAACGTGAACGAACACATTTAAGTACCACACTGCAGGCCACCGAATGGCAGCAGGCCAACGTCAGTAGTCACTCTTCGGCAATAAGTAAGAGTGCACCGAATCTTGATAAGAAAACCCAACGACAGCAAAGGGAAATGATGGCAGCTGCATTGGCGGCTGCCTCTTCCACGCCATCATCACCCACCAGCAATTTAAATGGTTTCCATAGTCCTGTTGTCAGTACAACACCGCAAGGTATTCGACTAGCTGGTAGCCTTGTTGTTGCATCACCAACAACATCCTGTTGTTCTACTTCTTCTCCACTTTCTACTCCTCATCCTCCAACATCATCATCCTCATCAATGTCAGCTACTGGCAACAACATTCATCCGGCTTTTATGACATTAATCTGTAATAACAACAACAACAGCAGTCATAATATTCATCTGCATTCTAATAACCATAACAACAACAGCCACACATTAGCAACAAAAACAACTCATTTAAATAATATTCAAAATACTAAATTCCTTGGTAGTTGTTCCACAAATTCCTCACACTCCAGTTCGAGTACCCTAACTTCGGGTCTGAGTGGTGGTAAAAAATCGAAGAAACATGTTCTAACCAAATCACATGACCGAGGTCTAGACTCCTTGCAGATGGGCCCCTCGGGTGCTGCCACCAAACCACCCATCCCCCTTAGCTTTCCATTACCCCTCAACGATTTCGATGCGGATAAGGAAACACCCACACCCACTGTGGTGGGTTGCTTTAAATTTCGCCGCAATCCCCCGCCTCCACCTTTGCAGGATAAAAGTCCCACCATATACGATTTAAAAAAACATTTAAAAAATGATATACCAAAACAGTCCGCCAGTTTGGGTAATAGTCCGGCAATAGGTCGGAAGAAATTATCCCTTGACAGTAGACTTTCCCCGCTGGCCAGGAGACATCAGCTGTCATATATTTCGCCAGATATTTCACCGCTAATCGGTGAGAATCCCTTACTCAAATCATGTTCCCAGCAGGGCTCCTCCTCGCTGCTGCTCAATTCCAATGGCCCCGATAACCCCACCTATGATAGGTTATTCTATCGTTCGGTGCAAAAATCCCTGGATGAGATATTTTCCAATCAGCAGCAGCAATTGCGCCACCCCCACAATTCTTCATCTGCCAGCCAGGCAGGAGTTGGTGGTGAACTGAGTTCGGCCAATAGTAGCTTCCATAGTGCCAGTTTTTGGCATAAACCTCCCCAAGCCAACAGTTCCAAGTCCAGTGTTAATTTAACCATGTATTCCTCAACCTCTCAACTGGCTGACGATTTTTCCCACGACGACGACGATGAAGATGGAGAGGAGGATGAGGGTGGTGACTCGGAATCGCCCTATTATAGATTTCAAAGAAACGGTTCTGGGTCCCAGTTTCCCAGGCATTGTTTTTTCCGTAAACCCCCCTCGGATGGCCAAGAGAGGGCAATGGTGGCAGCATATCACTCCACCGAGGATCGTTTCAATTCCCTGAATTCCCTTGAAACATCATCCCACGATAATTCCATAAATTCCCATCCGACTTCGCGGAAATCCTCCATGGTTACATTTCATTTGAATCACAGCAATTCCAATTCCAATAGTTCCCAACACAATTCCTCACAATTGAGTTTCTTTGATGAGGCCGGCGACAGTGGTGGTGGTGGAGGAGGAGGAATTTCCTATGCCAGCACCGATACCAATTCCTCCTCCACCACCCTTCCGCCGCCGCCGCATATCAACTCCGATCAATTCTCCACACTCTTTACAAATGATAATTCAATATTTGCCACGCGTAAACTGCAGGATGTTCAACCCGATCCGGAGGTAATCAAAATGAAAGAACAACTGCTGCGAGAACAGGCTAAACAGCAACAACAACAGGCCCTCAAGCAGGCCAAAGAGAAGATGAAAAAATCCAAAGGGAAACAGCAGCAGCAGACTTCATCCTCCTCCCCCTATATTAACTCTTTGGAAAGTGATGGTGGTGGCCAACAGCATTCCTCCAGTTCGGCCAAATTCAAATCGCTTATGAATTTCCTAAAATTCGGCTCTTTAACGCATTCCAAAAAGAAATATAAAAAATCCAAAAGTTCATATAAATTATTTGAAAATTCTCAAGATATCAATACAAGGGATTCGATGAGGAGATATCCCATACCGCAACGGACCAAGTCATGTGATCAATTGGAAATGGTATAGGTTGGCAAAATGAAACCAAAATTTTTCAAAGGGGAAAAATCGGCTTTTCCCCAAGTTAGAATGCAGAGCAGAAGTAATAAGGTTTGAAAAAATTTCAAAATTTTTTTGGAATTTATTTAAAAAGAAAATTCAATTAACTTTTTGGAATTTTATTTTAAGGTTATGATAAGGCGATTTGTTCAAAGCAATTTCCAAACAAGGCAAAATTTCCATGAAAACTTCATACTAGAGAATTGATGCCAATGGAAGAAATGTTCTACAGACAAATTCACCATAGGTCCACAAAGAAACGAAAACTGTAAAATTCAAATTAGAACCTTCAAATACCCCTTACAAATTGAGTACGCGGAAAATGAAACGATTTTTAAGGTTATTGTTATAGTACTTTACAAAAGTGACAAAATCTTGCAGAATACGCTACCCTAGGATGTTGGTGCCAATGGAAATATTTTTCTTCACAAAATTTCACTATAGGCCCACAAACAAAACAAAACTGTAGAAGTAAATTTGGAACCTTAAAATACCCTTAACAAATTTTGAGTATAGAGGACTTACAAACGATTTTTAAGGTTAACTTCATAGTATTTTACAAATATAACAAAATCTTCAAGAAAACTACACTCTAGGAAGTGGGTGCCAATGAAAATATTTTTCTTCAGAAAATTTCACTATAGGTCCACAAACAAATGAAGATTGTAAAATTGAAATTAGAACCTCTAAATACCGTAAATAAATTGTGTACATAGAGGATTAACGATTGTTATAGTTAATTTTCTAGTATTTAACAAATATGACAAAATTTCCAAGAAAACTACACCCTAGAAAGTTGGTGCCAATGGAAATATTTTTCTTCGCAAAATTTCACTATGGGTCCTCGAACAAAAGAAGGCTGTAAATTTACTATTGGAACCTAAAAATACCGTTAACAAATTGTAATGAAATTTTTTGAGGTTAATTTCATGGCACTTTTCAATTTTAGCCGAATCTTCCGCAAAACTTCATTTTAGAGATTTGATGTCAATGGAAAACATATTCTATACTAAATTTCACTATAGGTCCTCAAACAAAAGAAATTTGTAATTGTAATATTTGTGCCCAAAAATACCGTTAACAAGGTAAGGTTAATTTCATGGCACTTTTCAATGTTACCAAAATCTTCCGCAAAACTTCGTTTTAGGGTATTGGTGTCAATGGAAAACATATTCTATACAAAATTTAACTATAGGTTCCCAAACAAAAGAAATTTATAAATGTAACTTTTGATCATAAAAATGCCGTTAAAAATTGTGCTTGTAGAGGAGAGGCATTTTTGAGGTTAATTTCATGGCACTTTTCAATTTTGCCAAAATCTTCCCCAAAACCCCAATTTAGGATGTTTATGTCAATGGATGAAATATTCTACAGAAAATTTCACTATAGGTTCCCAAACAAAAGAAATTTGTAAATGTAACTGTTGATCATAAAAATGCCGTTAACAAATTGTGTTTGTAGAGGAGAGGCATTTTTTAAGGTTAATTTCATGGCACTTTTCAATTTTGTCAAAATCTTCCCCAAAGCTTCATTTTAGAGATTTGCTGTCAATGGAAAAAATATTCTATACCGAATTTCATTATGGGTCCCTGAACAAAAGAAATTTGTAAATGTAACTGTTGATCATAAAAATGTCGTTAACAAATTCTGTTTGTAGAGGAGAGGCATTTTTCAAGGTTAATTTCATGGCACTTTTCAATTTTGTCAAAATTTCCAACAAAATGTCATTTTAGAGATTTGGTGTCAATGGAATACAGATTCTACAGTAAATTTCACTATAGGTTCCCAAACAAAAGAAATTTGTAAATTGAATTTTTGTGCATAAAACTGCCATTAACAAATTGTGTTTTTAGAGGAATGCATTTTTGAGGTTAATTTCATGGCACTTTTCAATTTGCCAAAATATTCCCCAAAACCCTAATTTAGGAGGTTTATGTCAATGGATGAAATATTCTACAGAATATTTCATAATTAATATTTGTTCCAAAAAAAAAAAATCTATTTAAAAATTTTAGTTCTTAAAATAAATTCCAAAAAAATTTTTAATTTTTTTTTTGTGTAAATTCCAAAATTAAATAATTTTTTGGTAGATTAAAAAAATTTAAAAATTTTTAAAAAAATTTTTAATTTTTTTTTTCAAGAAATTTTTTTTTTTTTTTTTGAAAAATTAAAAAAAAATCTTAAACAAAAATAATTTTAAATTTACATGTACTACATAATTTATGTAGCAAGTGTAACCATATAATCCTTTAGGTATAATGGTCGTCGTCTAGTTTTTTTTTAAAGCCATAGTTTCCTTTTTTATACTTATATATTAAAAAAATATATATGTTATGTACCTACCTTTACATATTAAGACATTGCAACAATAAGCCGTTATTTAAGCCATTTTTTTACAAAACTTTTTCTATAACAAAAAACCACACAACTAGGGAACGAACCCCCCAACACAACAACGTGCCTTTTTTGAATTTAAAAATAAAAAATTCAAAATCATTTAAAAGTGCATTTAGTTTTTTTTTTAATTAAAAATGTTTGTTTTAATTTTTTTGTTTAATTTATGTAATGTATGTATGTATTTTTTCTAAATTTTTTTTTCTTTAAATTAAAATTTGTTAATTATTTTTTTTATATACATTTTATTTATTATCATTACAAAAAAACTGTATTATTATTATTTTTTGAAATCTCCAACCAACCCATGGCAATTATGAATTTTTAAATTCACAAAATAAATTTAATTATTTTTTTAATTTGTTTTTTCTTAAAAAAAATACTGTGATTAAAAAAACTGTTTTAATTTTATTTGTGTATTATTTTTTTTTAAATATTTGAAATTATTTTTTGTATTTAAAACTCCCCAAAACAGAAATTTGAAAATTATCATTTTGTAAAACTTCGAGTGCTTTTTTTTTCGATAATTTAATTTGTAGTTATGTAATTTTTATATTTTTATAATGTATGCTAATTATTTTTAATTTTAAGTTTTAATTTATTAAGTAAAAAATACAATATTTATAGATGTAACCGAAAAAGAAAAACAAAATTCCATAAAACAAAAACACAACGAAATCGAAAAAACTACGAAATTAATTTGTTATAAAAAAAATCTATAAAAAAAATTACACAAAAACCTACTAAAAAAAACAAACAAAAATAAAAAAACATAAAAAATAACAAAAAACTCAAAATGGTTTTATTTTTTTTTTAACAAATAATAAAAACACAAAAACAAACTTGGTAAAGGCCAAAAGAAACACAACAACAAAAAATATTTAAAAAAATAAATTTAAAATTTATATATTCAAATATTCCCCCCTCCATAGGTTACAATTCCAAAGACGATTGGTGTTCACCAATACACACCTTACCCGGCGGTGGTCCAAATCTTCCCATTATGTCTCCAAATCCTTACTTGCTAAGTCGTTTCACTTCCAACATACCCATGCCAACGTTATATGCCGGTGATGCCATACGTAAACCCAAATTATCGGTAATCGAGGTGTTACTCTACAATATGGCAGCATTATTGGCCGGAGTGGCGGCAGGTTATGATGTACGCATGTCAAATGTATCACCATTTCATCCAACGTTATTGAGTGATGTACCCGCACTAAAAGCGGCACCCATTGAAATGGAACTACCCAAAGTTACCAACACAGACGATAGGCGTTTTGCTGCCAATACCTACCACGGTACAGGAAATCGTCAAAGGTAAGTTATAATAATTAAATATTAAAATTTAAAATAAACATTTATTTTTTTCTAATTTAAGGTAAAAGCAATTTCATTTCACCACCAAATCTATCTCAAAATATTATTTTACCCACATGATGTCAATGGAAAAATTATTCTTCAGAAAATTTCACCATAGGTCATCGAACAAAAGAATTCTGTAGAAATAAGTTTAAATTATAAAAAGTACCATTAAAAATATATATATGTAGAGAACAAATATTTTAGAGGTTAATTTTCAATTCAGGAAAATACTTCCCCATAGCCTAAATTTAGAGGTTTAGTGTCAAGGGGAAAAACACTCTGCAGAAAATTTCACTATAGGTCCCCGAATAAATCATATCTGTAAATTCAATATTTGTTCCTAAAAATACCGTAAACATAAAATACATGATGAATATAGGCATTTCTGTAGTTAATTTCATAGTAATTTTCGATTCAGTCAAAATCTTCCCCATAACCTCACTTTAGAGGTTTAGTGTCAACGGGAAAAATATTCTTCAGAAAATTTCACTATAGGTCCCCGAACAAATCAAATCTATAAATTCAATATTTATTCCTAAAAATACCGTTAACAAATTGTATATAATAAAGAGAAGTATTTCTGTAGTCAATTTCATAGTAATTTTCGATTCAGTCAAAATCTTCCCCATAACCTCACTTTAGAGTTTTAGTGTCAACGGGAAAAATATTCTTCAGAAAATTTCACTATAGGTCCCCGAACAAATCAAATCTTTAAATTCAATATTTGTTCTTAAAAATGTCGTTAACAAATTGTATATATAGAACAAAGAAATTATTGAGGTTAATTTCATGGTATTTTTCAATTTTGACAAAATCTCCCACAAAAACTCATTTTAGACACTGGATGCCAATGGAAAAAATATTCTTCGGAAAATTTCACTATGGGTCCTCGAACAATAGAATCCATTAGAAATAAATGTTAGTCATGAAAAATACCGTTAGAAATTTGTATATATATAACAGAGAAATGTTTGAGGTTAATTTCACAAAATCTCCCACAACAACCCATTTTAGACAATTGCTGTCAATGGAAAAAATATTCTTGGGAAAATTTCACTATGGGTCCCCGTACAATAGAAGTCCTTAGAAATAAGTTTTCTTCATAAAAAATACCGTTATAATAATTATAATATTTCTAACGAAAACAAATTTAATTAATTATATTCCTTTTTTATTTTTCTTCTTTAGAACCGCAATTAGCTCTTTAACCTATGAACCTGCGGATATACCTGGATCTCCCCGACGAGCCATTGCTGCCGATTCCCCCTTGGCGCAGCATAAACAAAAACAAGGCTATAATATAACCGATTCCCCCACGCCTTATCAAAAATATCAACCCAGTTTGGGATTGGCCACGGCAACACCTCCACCTCTGCACCCAGCGCAACATCATCAACACCCTTTACACCATGGCAAAAGTGTGACCCAACCACCAACACCACAACATTATGCCGCCGGCGGACAACAGCAACAACACCAAATACGCAAAATGCCCTCAACCATATCGACAACAACCACAAGTGGTTTGGGTTCCAACTTCACCAACAATACCACCTCGGGTATATTGTCTTCTTCGTTGGGTAGCAGTCATACCCAACCGCCGACACCTTCGCCGCGTCGTAAAGTGAGTACCTCTTCGTTTACGGAAAATTTGGAATATTCCCAGCAAGAGGATAATTTACCGGTCGGCAAGGCATTTCGAGATTTTCGTTTGGGCGGCCAGGTGGGTATGCCAGGCATGCCGGTTGTGGGTGGCCCCGCGGGAGCCAATGTTGTCACGGCCGCCAATCAGTCGATGTTTACACACAAGGATTTCCTGAGAAATGGTCCAAGTTTTTCCAATGATGGTGGGGCCTATGGGGCTGGGGCCCATCGAGCCGGTTATTTGGGTGAGTATGACATGGAAAATAAAAAAAATTGTGGAGGTTATTAAATTTGTTTTCGTTTTTCCTTGTCTTGCCTAGGTTCCAATTATTTCCCCTATCGCCCGGAACATCAGCTAACCTATGAACGTGATTGTAAATCCTATCCCGACTATTCGTATGACTATAATCATCGTTTGCCCAACTATTATGATTACAATTATGAACCGCAGCCGCCACCACCGCCAGCTCCGCAGCAGCATCATGCCTCTCCGCCGGTGGTACGGACCCCTCCACCCCGTGTACCTCAAATGGGTGTAAGTGCCGCCGGGCATCGGCGTACCCCCTCAACAATTTCGAATAATTCCAATTACAATCAGGGCTATAGCATAGACTATGAGGAGCCTGTTTTCGATTATAACAATATGGCGCTGCCCTATGCGGAATATGGACCCTATCGCGATCCGGCAATGCCGCCCACAGGCTCGGTGCCGCCTCCAACAAAACAAGAGCTGTATAAAAATTCACCCAAACCTGCAAATCGCCATTATATGGGACAAACGCCACGAAGTGATTTGGCCTCACTGAATCGGATGCGGGATTATGAGAATCTACCCTATAATAGTAGTAGTCCTCTGCATAAACCGTTATATCAATATCGTGATAGTGGTGGCGGTGGTGGAGCCAGCTCCTCGTTGCACCACACGCCACAGCGTGTCATTTACAGCAGATCCCGATCGACGCCCATGTCACCCATAAACATGAAAACCTCACCACCCTCACCGGCGCCTAGTGCAGCGGCCCAAGCCAAAACGAGCATGCATCATCACGAATCGGCACCACGTCTCATACCCGAACGGCCCGATAGTCTGCCCTTCGATGGCAGCAGTTTGGCATTTGTCAGCTCGGCCCAGGGTGCGGGTGGTGGCGGTACAAAATTACGTTCCTCATTGAAAAAGTACAATAATTACAAGACACCCAATGGTGCACCTCTGAATGGTGGTGGATCAAGCAATAATGCGGGGGGTGGTGGTGGTGGTACAGCTGGTAGTACGCCCACAAATCCCACACCGCCCGATTCGCTAACCAGTGACGACAGTTCATATTTAAGTGCCAAAGAGGGATCAATATCCTCACATAGTCGGGTACGATTTAGTCCGGATGCCTATGCGGATGCTAGTCCAGGTGCCACAAGTAATAAAACCATGGCTCTCTACACCCGAAGATTGTCGCGACGTAATACCGCTGATATTTCGGGTTCATCGACATCGCCCTCGTCCTAGCAGGGATTTGTAAATCTGCGAGTGCAAATGGCACGTAGTCCGGGTGCCCGGGCCAGTACATGGTCATTAAATAATTATGGTCAGCCGGGATTGATTTCACCCTCAGCGGTGGGGGGTGGTGGTGGTCAGCAGCAATTACCCTATCGTTGGTATTCGGGAGCAAGACGGTCACGTTCAGCTCAATATGAGTATCAAATGTGAGCGGGTCTTAGCAACAACAACAACAGCTATCAGGTTTCATAGGGAATCATCATAAACTTTACTATATATCTCTCTCAGCAACATAAAGAGAGAGTGAGAGAGAGACACAGATTTCATTGAGTGAAATATTTTTTTGGTTACAATCGAATTGTAACTCGAATAGAAAAATAGAAAAACAAAAATCAAGTATTACAAAAAAACTGAAACTGATAAAATCGTTCTTAATATTTATGAAAAAATTTAAATTCAAAATAATTACAATATTTTTTTAAATATAAAAACAATAATATATAAGAAAAATAAGCACAAAAATCATTTTGTGGGTTAAAAGAAGAAGAAAAAATTTTGTATGCAAAACCCAAAATTTGTTATGAAATATTGAAAAGGAAACTTAAAATATGTGCTAAAAATGTTCAAGAAGTAATAGCAATAGAAAGACCTAAAAAAACATTCTCAATATGACCTAACCTAAAATATGACTTTGAATTTTTTATATACCAAAATAGATACCCACATTAAAATGATAAATATTATATATACATTTTTTTTTATGATTTTATTTGTTAAAATCGCCTCTTTGGGAAATTAACCTAAAATTTGACTTTTATTTTTTTATATGAAATTTTAAATATTAGATATTATATATAGTTCGGTGACCCATAATGAAATTTTATGTAGAATATTTTCGCCATTGGCATCACTCACCTAAAATGGGGTACTATGGGTCAAAATCGCCTCTTTGGGAAATTAACCTAAAATTTGACTTTTAATTTTTTATATCGAAATAGATACCCACATTAAAATGATAAATATTATAGATAAAGATTTATATTGTTCGGTGACCCATAATGAAATTTTATGTAGAATATTTTCGCCATTAACACCGCTCACCTAAAATGAGGTACTATGGGTCAAAATCGCCTTTTTGGGAAATTAACCTAAAATTGAATTTTCGTTTTTTGATACCGAAATAAATACCCACATTAAAATGTTAAATATTATAGATACAGATATGTATTTTTCGGTGACCCATAGTAAAATTTTATGTAGAGAATTTCCGTCATCGACATGACCCGTTTAATATGGGGTACTATGGGTCAAAATCGCCTATTTGGGAAATTAACCTAAAATTGGCTTTTCATTTTTTTATATCGAAATAGATACCCACATTAAAATGCTAAATATTATAGATACAGATTTAATATATGAAATTTTATGTTATTTTCGCCATTAACACCGCTCACCTAAAATTTTGGAAAATGTCTTTGGGAAATTGTAAACATTTTCATTTTTTTCCTCAAAATATTATATATTCGATACAGTTTTCTTTTGTTCTGTGACCCATAGTGAAATTTTATGGAAAATATTTCCCTCATTGATGTCATTCCCCTAAAATTTTATATAATCGCTCAAAATGGCCTCTTTCGGGTAAATGTATGAAATTAATTTAAAATTTTGGATTTGCCTATTTTAACTTCAATATTTTAAGTGTAAATATTCGTTCTACGGTGTTATTTTGTTCCGTGACCCATAGTGAAATTTTATGGAGAATATTTCCACCATTGATGTCATTCTCCTAAAATGTTATATAATGACTCAAAATGACCTCTTTCGGGTAAATGTATGAAATTATCCTCAAATTTTTGATTTGCCTATTTTAACTTCAATATTTTAAGCGGAAATATTACTTCTACAGTTTTCTTTTGTTCGGTGACCCATAATGAAATTTTATGCAGAATAATTTCGCCATTGGCATAATCCGCCTAAAATGTTATATAATGGCTCAAAATGGCCTCTTTCTTGTAAATGTATGAAATTAACCTCAAATTTGTGATTTACCTACGTTAATCTCAATATTTTAAGTGTAAATATTGCTACGGTGTTATTTTGTTACAGTTTTTATGGAAAATATTTCTTTTGTTTCCCCTAAAATGTGGAATTAGGGGTCAAAATAATACCTTTCTAAAATCCCCCATTTTTGTTCTTTTTATATGACATCAAATTAATATAATATAATTTCTATCGTAAATATTATATCTATAGGTTCCACTTGGTCCATGACCCATAGTGAAATTTTATCCCGAATATACATTATAGCCCTTAAATTAAGTATTGTGCGGGAAATTTGAATATTGTGAACATAACCTCTACAAATAATGGGGGGCCTTTTGTCTTTGTTTTTCTTTTGCTATTACTTCAATAACCCACACAGACAGACAGACAAACATCATTTACCATTGTATTCAAAATCGAAATAAAAATGGTATTTGGAAAGAAATTTTCAAAAAATAATAAAAAGAAAAAACATTAACACGAAATTAAGACAATGGTCATTGCTTTATTGTAATTACATATTTCATCATGTTATACATATATTAACTATAATAATTAATTAAGGTTATATAAAAAATAAATTAATAATTAAGATCATAATATTTTTTCATACACCTGAAACTCAATTTAACAGCTTTATTAAGAGTCCGTTTTTTGTTTTAAAATAAAAAAAATATAAATAAGTTATTTGTACTTAATTTTTTTTTAATGATATAATTTTTTTTAATTTTTGTATAAACTATATTTACATATTATTTTTTTATTACTACAAGGTGTCATCATTCTCCCCTCTTCACGCCAAATTAGTCATCAATGTTTTTATTTTGTTTATCTGTAAATACAAAATAAAAATCTATTATTTGTAATACTCATCTTCATATATATATATATATATAAAAGAAAAAATAAATTATATAAAAATAAAACAAACCATAAATATAAACAAATATAATTTAAATATATCTAATGAACAATTTCAAATGTTTTATAAAATTTCTAAACAAAAAAAAAAAAATATAGCATACATGTAAAAATGCCTTACAACAAATAAATAAAAACAACAACAACTCATTGTAAAATAATTTTTTCAAAAAAAAATCATCTAAGTAAAACACACAAACCCAATAATCCTAAATTTAAAAAAAAAATAATTAATTATTTTTTTTTATATAAATTAAATGTATAAACAAACAAAATATATATATTATGTATTGAAAAAAATAATGTCATTAAAATAATAATAAAAAACTATGTTTTAATTTTATATTTTGTTTAAAGAAAAAAAAAAACAAAAGAAAGAGTACCAAAAAAATTTTTCCAAAAGTACATTTTGAATTTTTCGATTTACCAACAGATCTGTACATTTTTTCAATATGATGTCTTGAGCTATTTTGTCCGCAACACCATGAGGAATATTTTTGTAGAACATTTCGAACCTCTAGAACCCCATTCCAGGGGTCTTGTTAGGCCCTTTAAAAAAATTCAGTGAATATTCCAACCTAAAATGCCATAAATAAATGCCGATTCAAAATCCATTGGTTTCCTTCAGATCCATGCATTTTGGGTATGCGACCTCTATGGCAATATTATTCACAACACTATGTGGAATAATTTTCTAGAAGATTTTGAACCTCTAGCGCCTCATTAAAGAGCTCATTTGGGCCCTCCAAAAACACTAAGTGTGAATTTCTCAACCTGAAAAGCCATAAATAAATGGAAATTTGAAAGCCATAGGTTTTCTTCAGATCCATGCATTTTGGCTATGTGACCCCTATGGCAATATTATTCAAAACACTATGAGGAATATTTTTGTAGTAGATTTCGACGCTCTAGCGCCTCATTATAATGGACTTTTGTGTCCCCAAATATTGCATATTTTCATAAATTAATCAAAATGACTGAAGGAATAAATGTAGATTCGAATTCCATAGGCTTTCTTCAGATCCATGCATTTTAGGTCGGCGACCTCTATGGCAATATTTTTCACAACACTATGAGGAATAATTTTGTAGAACCTTTCGACCCTCCAGCGCCTCATTAAAGGGGTCTTTTGAGCCCTTCAAAAACATTAGGTGTGAATTTCTCAACCTGAAAAAGCCATAAATAAATGGAAATTGGAAACCCATAGGTTTCCTTCCGATCCATGCATTTTGGGTATGCGACCTCTATGGCAATATTATTCACAACACTACGGGGAATAATTTTGTAGAACATTTCGGCCCTCCAGCGCCTCGTTATAATGGACTTTTTGGTCCCCGAAAATTGTAAATATCCATAAATTACCAAAATGACTGCGGAAATAAATCCCGATACGAAATCCATAGGTTTCCTTCAGATCCATGCATTTTCGGTGTGCGGCCTCTATGCCAATATTATTCACAACACTACGGGGAATAATTTTGTAGAACATTTCGACCCTCTAGCCCCTCGTTATAATGGACTTTTGGGTCCCCAAAAATTTTAAATGTTCATAAACTAACCAAAATCAAATAACTATGAAAATCTCAGGGCAGATTTCATTTTTGGGTCTGGATAGCAATAAGTGAAATATTCTAAAGAAAATTTCACTATGGGCCCCGGAAGAAATGAAATCGATTGCAATAACTTGTATCGATAAAAATAACGCTGGCAATTCGATAAATAAATAATTTACATTTTTCTCGATGTTTTGGCGCCATTTTTGAAATTATGCCAATTTGCCGCACAATACTTTATTTTAGGGTCTTTACATCAATGAGAGAAATATTTTTCAGCAAATTTCACTATGGGTCACCGAATAAATGAAATCGATATATCTAATCAGTATCGGAAAAATAACGCTTCCAATTTCAAATTGCCTTTTTCTGGTGCATTTTTTTGCCGCCATTTTCCAGAAAATGCCAATTTGCCACAAAACATCTGATTTTAGGGTATTGACATCAATGAGGAAAATATTCTTCATCAAATTTCACTATGGGTCTGGGAAC